TTGTGCTCTCTCTCTCTCCCTAATAAATATATAAAATCTTTAAAAAAGAAGTTTAATGGCTGACATCTCATGAGAAACAATGGAAACAGTGGAGGCCAAAAGGCAGCGAGATATCATACTCAAAGTGCTAAAAGAAAAAAAAACTGTTAATCAAGAATCTTATATACAACAAACTATCTTTCACACATAAAGGTAAAATAAATATATTCCCACATAAACAAAAAGAATCTGTTGCTAGTAGACTTGCCTTACATGAAAACCTTCAGTTTGAAACCAAGTGACCCCAGACAGCAATATGAATCCATACCAGAAACCAAAGAGCACTGGTAAAAGTAATTATGTAATTATAAAAGACAGTATAAGTGCATATTTCTTCCATTTCTTATTTAAAAAGCAGCTGTATAAAACAGTATTATATAATTGCACTATTAGGCTTATGACATACAGAAATGTAACATATTTGACAATAATAACATAGGAGGTAGGTGAAAACAAAGTAAGAAAATGGAGTAAGAAAATTACACAGAGGGCAATGTGAATCCACAGGGCCAAATAAAGAACGAGAAATGATAAATAAGAAGGCTAACTTTATAAGAAATTCTATAAATAAGAAATTCTACTTGTCCTTTCTTTGCTTCGCTTAATAGACAAACAATTCTATAAAGTAATAATTATAACAATATATTGTTGGATTTGTAGGATATATATATGTAATATATAAAACAGTAATAGCACAAAAAGGAAGAAGAGTGAATAGAGAAATATAAAGGTAATATTTCTGATCTCACTGTGATCAAGTTAGTATAAATCTGAAGTAGATTCTGATGAATTACATGTATATGGTAAGCTCTATGGGGCACCCCAGTGGCTCAGTTGGTTAAGTATACGAGTCTTGGTTTTGGCTTAGGTCGTGACTCAGGGTCATGGAACTGAGCTCCATGTCAGGCTCCAAGTTCAGCATGGAATCTGCTTGGGATTCTTGCCCTCCCTCTCCCTTTGCCCCTCCCCCTGCTCATGCTCTCTAAATAAATAAATACATAAACTTAAAAATATATATATATATGGTAAGCTCTAGAGCAGCCACTAAGAAAATAAAGTCCAAAGAAAGTAAAAGAAAAAAATCATTAAAGTAACTGAAATAGTACAATGGAAAATATTCACTTAATGCAAAAGAAAGCAATAAAGGAGGGACAGAAGAACAACAAAGACATGGAGACGTGTAGGAAACAGAAAGCAAATTGGCAGACATAAATCCAACTACATCAACAGTAACACTAAACGTGAATGGGTTAAACAATACAATCAAAAGTCAGAGAGATTGTTAGGCTGGATGAAAAAACAAGATCCAACTTTAAGTTGTCTACAGGAGACACACTTTAGGGGGCCTGGGTAGCTCAGTCATTAAGCGTCTGTCTTTGGCTCAGGTCGATCCCAGGGTCCTGGGATCGAGCCCCACATTGGGCTCCCTGCTCCGCGGGGAGTCTGCTTCTCCCTCTCCCACTCCCCCTGCTTGTGTTCTCTCTCTCGCTGTGTCTCTCTCTGTCAAATAAATAAATAAAATCTTAAAAAAAAAAAAAAAAAGGAGACACACTTTAGATTCAAAAATACAAATACACTGAAAGTGAAAGAATGGAAAAGACAGATCATGCAAATAGCAACCATAAGAAAGCTGTAATGGCTATACTAATATCTTACAAGGTACTTTTTAAAGCAAAACAGATTTCTAGAGATAAAGAAGGACATTTTATAATAATATAAGGAGAACTCCTTCAGAAAGATATGAAAATTAGAAACATATATGCACCTAGCAATAGAGCCCAAAATGCCTGAAGAAAAAGCTGACAGAAATGAAAGGAAAAATAGATAATTCAAAAATAATAGTTGGAGCCATCAATATCCTATTTTCAATAATAGAAATAGGAAGATCAACAAAACAGAATACATGAACAACATCATAAACCAACCAGACCTAATAGACATCTACAGAACACATCAACAACAGCAGAATACACATTCTTCCCAGGTGCACATAGAACCATCTCCAGGATAAACCACATTCTAGGCCATAAAACAAGCCTCAACAGATTTAAAAGGATTGAGAACATGCAGAGTTAGTCCTCTCACCACAATGGAAGGAAATTATGTATCAAGAACAGAAATTTGGGAATTCATAAATATGTGGGAATTAACCAACACACACCTAAATAATCATTAAGTAAAAGAAAAAATCACAAGGCAAATTAGAAAATACTTTGAGATAAAGAAAGCAAAAACATAGCAAACAAAACTTATAAGATGAAGCAGAAAGCAATGCTTAGAGAAAATTTTATAACTGTAAATGGCTTTATTAAAAAAAAAAGATCTCAAACCAATAACCTCATCTTCCACCTTAAGATATTAGAAAAATCACAAACCAAACCCAAAGCGAGCGGAAAGGAAATAATAAAGATTAGAGAAAAACTTAATGAAATAGAGAATAGAAACACAGCAGAGACAACCAAGAAAACCAAATGCTAGTTTTTTGAAAGAGCGACAATATTGGCAAGCCTTTAGCTCAACTGACCAACTACAGAAAAGACTCAAATTATCTTAATTGACAAAACTTCTGAGGACAATATTACTTTACACACCATCAGGTACATTAATCACCATGAATCAGAGACACTTTCAGATGTGTAAGCTATGTGAAAAAGCACCTCAGCTTGTTGCGCTTTTTTTCCCTGTTAGGTAAACAAATCCACCCTAAAATATATTTCAAGATCCGTGAAATTTGTCATTTATCCCAAGTTAACTTCCTCCTACACCCCAACACACACACACTTTTGCTTTGAGAGGCTCCTTCCTCAATTTCAGGGCCCATTACATACCTTTTACTTTCTTTCCCATGACACCATCAAAGCAGGATAGATTTGAGATCAGTTATTTGCACTTGTGTTGATTTACAAATTACACTTTCAAATTCATTCCTACACAAGCATACTCTCACCAGCATTCATATTCTGAGTCTGAGGTACCAAAGTGTGGAAGGAAGAAGGGCTTTCCTATATTAAAGATTAGTAAGCCTCCACACAACCTTGCCAATGGCTACCATAAGCTGAATCAAGTAGTTCATGTCAGTCTTTTGACTCAAAACATAGATGGTAAATAAATTTGATTGCTTCAATTAAAAAACATTGGAGGGGGAAATATGGGCAACGAGATATTTCCCTACAGGTCATTTGAATTGTTATGTTTATTTTGTGGTTTTCAGGGACAGACGGTTGGAGACTATAGGAAGCAGCAGAAGTTAAGTCCAAGACGATCCCCTAGCTGCTCAGTACCAACAGCATCAGGGGCAGAGGCTGGGTACCTGCACCCTGCTTTCAGGCCCCAAACACAGGCTCTACCAAAAGACTGCCGGGGCGCCTTTTGACTGGCTTCTCATGCACAAGAAAATGAAATCTTCGGAGGTCATCTTTAGATGTCAACTACTAATGAGGCAACACCTACAACCCATGTTAGGCGTGTGTGGCATGTTTTGGTTGAGAAGAGAGAAGTCTTCAAATATGCTACAGTTTTTGCAACCATGCTTTGCCATTTCTTCATTTTTGCATAGGAGAAACTACAGAAAGAAGAATCCAGGGCTTCTCTCCACTTCTTAGAGGCTCTGTCCGATGCTGCCCTCCTGTGGTGCGGGGCTCAGGGCAGACCCCAAACCTTCACAAGCCCCCACGCTTTTCCTCACTCTGCTGCCATGCCCATCCATTCTCTCCCTGCACAAGGCTCTACCAGGATCTTCCTTTGCTGCCATTTTCAGGGATACTCGGTGTGATTTTTATTTGTATTTAATGCTTTCGTTATTACAGCCTCTACCCAACACATCTAGTATCTAAAATCTACCCAACACATACTTCTTGCACCTGTATGATTTCTAACTTAGACATTGTGCATCCCCAAATCCCTCCAAATTAGGACTATGAAGTCTTTAGTTTTACAATAATTATAACAACAAATAACATTTATTTAGTACTTGCTTTGTGCCAGGCACTCTACTGCTTTACATAAATTATTTCATTCCGTCACATCTAACTGCTTCTAAGCATATATGCTTACATTTGCCAGTAGCACTTAAAATTAATTAAAATATATTGTTGATTATCTTGGAAAGCAATGTCTCAACATACTAAAGTAAAATCCATAGAATAAAATATTTTAAGGTCTTACAAAATGTACAACACTAAGTTATTATAGGATACTATTAAATTTATGTTTCTACCATGGAAAATAAAGCTATTTTCTGGCATGTTGTACCCACTTACTTTTAATCCTATTTTTATGCCTTTCTCAAACTCCTAGAAACCAGAGCTTCTAATATGTCAAATAGAATAGAATTAGATTCATACATTCAATTTGATCCTTTGAGAAATATATAAAGTGATTTTGTTCTTGCATTAACTCCCAAATTGTTTTGTATAATAACCAGCCTGACATTAATTGTGGCATGAGGGCTGAGAAACAACATGAGATAAGACTTTTACTAATCCTTCACATTCCATTTCCAAGCCGTATGCTGTTCCTGATCAAAAGTCTTATTTATTATTAAGAATTACATTATTCTCTGAATGAGTGAATTTTCTCTCAGAGACAGGAAATGAAGGATCGCTAACACTGGGAGTGTATTTTTCCTGTCTCAGTATTAATGCATGATATATATTCATATTAATAACAACTCTGAAAACTAGTTTCATTTCTTCTACACATAAGCAATAAACAGTATGTGCAAAAATCTGAGTCCTAGCAGCAGTGGTGTGAATATAGAATATTGGGTTTCTTTTGAAGGTACAGCCATTTCTAATATTTCATTAGAGCATGTGTAGAGGCAACCGTCACAGATGTCCATCAAAGCTGGATTAGATGAAGACAAACAATGCAGGCTTTGAGGATAAACTGTAGCTGCAGCTCAAAAGTTTCCGTTTCTCATCGAAGGGCACTATAGGATCATTGTCTTCCTCCTTGAGGCAAAAAGAATGAATCAGTTATGTTACTGACATCCCTCCACAGCAGACCGAAAAGTCTTTTTTGCAGTCCCACAAGAGACAGTGAGAACAAGATTTCATAAGAAAATGTGGAAATTTCAAAAATATCTTCATGCTCGTTTGTCATCTCTGCAATTTTCCCATAAAGTCTACCATCATTTTATTTCTGTGGCAGAATCTACTAGTGCAAAATTTCACAGAAATATTTTCAACAGAAGTAAATGCTTGAACTACTAAACATTTCTGTACCATGTTTAATAATAAAATTCAGCTTTAAGTTATTGTCATTAACTTCATGTATATTAATCACAGATGGTAACTGCTTGCACACAAAGACCACTTCTTGCTAGCCCCCAAATAACTTTGCAATTCTATTAAGTAAATGGATAAATAATAAATACAAAATAATACATGACACATAGTCTTTTTTGAGATAGTGAATTTCCCATTTAGGAAAAAAAAAACCAGCTAAGATTTTAGTTCAATAACATCTATTGCCAGCATGGGAGTGGCAAAACCAACTTTCATATAGGTGCTGCACATTAACTGGTCCACTCTTTTGGACAATAAATACCTATTAAAATTCAGATGCATATACTTTCTGACCTGAAATTATATTCCTAGAAGCTTACTGTACAGATAAACCATCCAATCATACGAAGATTTTGTGTCGGGATATTCACTGCAGCAATTAAATGACTTCCTTCCTTAATCAAGTATAGAGTAGGACACAATAGAGTACTTGAAAAATGTCCACATAGGCTATGTGTGTATGGATGTATTATACATACACACATACACGTGTCTGCCCACATATGCATATGTACATACAGATACATGCAATTTCTGGAACAATTTATTAGAAAGTATTTGTAATTTGGGGTATATTTTTCCAAACTACATTTCAAAGAAGATATAGTCCTAATCAAATCTTTAAGATCTCAGATAGAACTTAAAAGGTAAAATAGGACTTTGGGTATATATTTGACAATTATAACCCAGCAAATTTTAAGTCAAAGTGTCTCAAATGAAACTGATAATCAAAATTGTGAAGCCACAGCATTTCAGAGCTAAAAGGAGCCTAAAGGTCATGATGTATACATTTTCTGCAAAAGAAAAATAACCTGGAGTCCCCCATTACCTAAAATGTGTTCCACGTAAGTAAAAATTAGTTGGAAAAATGACTCCGTGTTCCAAAAAAAACAAAACAAAACTGGAAACTCTGGTTAAATACAGTAACATATGGTTCTTATATGTAAAACCACCTCAGAGTTCTTATATACAAAACCACCTAACATGCTAATGTGCACTGTAAATCTCCTAAAGGAGGTTATGATATTCAGGATTCTCCAAATTTGTAGACTATCAGCTCTTGACTTAACAAACATCTTAATGGGTATCTTAATGGCTCTGCAGAACACTTTTGGAAAAGGCTAGTCGACAGGAATATATATTCCAAGTTTACCAGAGTAACGAAATTTCATTTTAAGAATATATGAAGCCATTCTAAAAATTAAACTATCATGGTCCAAAATACCAATTAAACAAAAGATAGTTAATATGCAGTCTCCCTAATCATACAAATTCAGGTCTTAACACAAAGCGTTTTAACACTGAATGTTCATACACCCAGAGTGCAAGAGATGCACATGCCCGTTGGTGTCTCGTTCATTTTGAAGTTCTAAGGGTCTGATGTAAATGGTTCTCAACAGATGCTAAGTGAATTCTGGTCTACCAGAGTGTGGACTCTTCCTGGTAAATTTAGGTACTCACTCTGCTAAAATCTCCCTCAAGAAGAAACTAAAGATAATAATGCCCCCTGCTTGTTGGGCTTATTCTCCTCAACAAGGCACTGTGAGGATGATCTTTATGTTAGCTCCCCCCAAAGATGGATGCTTGATCTTGTTCACTGCAGAGAACAAGTTACCTGGGAAAATATTTCAACTGATTGCAATCTGCGGTATGGATTTGGAATCAGGGAGACCAAGGTTCAAATCCCAGCTCTGCCACCAACTTGCTGTGAGATTTTAGGCAATCTACTCACCCCTTCTGAGCTTCGGATGATAGCAGAACCAGATAGAACCTTCATAGGGTTGTGTGAGAATGTAACAGGACAACAGATAAAAGGTGACAACAGTGAGTCGCAGGCACATAATTGAGCTACTAGTGAGGATTTCGGTTGATTCTACAGACATCTCACGAGCTGAAAGTTGACCTATGCTATGGCCTATTATTTTCCATAGCATGTGTTCAAAATTTACTTTTCAGAATTTCAGAGAAAGTTTTCATGGAAGGAAATTACACTTGATCTCATTTGCACTGTGTTCCCAAGGTCCAATGCAGTATCTGGCCCATAGCAAGCACTCCAAGAAAATCAAGTGTGTGTGTGTGTGTGTGTGTACATACATTAAAAAGTATAACAAAATGACAGGGGCAACTTCATTATATAATTTTAATTTTTAAAAATCTGTATCAAAATTACACATTCACATAAAGGGTTAAATAGTTTTAGAATGTTTCTTATGAAAACTAGCAGGTCCCTGTCTCTTATGCCACCAATTTCCTCAACTCTTTTAACTGATTATTTCATTTACACCAAAGAGCTAAATAGTGTAATTGTATTACTCCTTTTCCATTTTTAGTATTGTCTCTTGACTTTCCCCATGGAGAATGAAGATTTGACCCTCCTTCCTCCTGTCAGACACCCACCCCCTCCCCGCCACACACACACACACCACCCACATGCATATAAACCCTTCCTTCACTCCATCCTTCCAATACAGTTATGTAGTAACTATGGCTGGATCAGTTTCTATTCTATTCTTCCCATTATTGTGATGATGTAAATCTTATCCAGAGCTGAATTATGTGTATTAATGTATCATTTTCTTCCTGCACTTCTTTTCCCCTTCTGGAGTGAATAACTGTGATTATCTTGGGGTTTTTCCACCTTAGTTTTCTATGTACTGAATCCAAAATTACCTCCCAATCCTGAGACACTCAGGAAGTTAAAGGCATATCATACCATCAATTTCTAGAACCTTCTCATTTGCTCACATCTGGACTCAAGACTCCATCCCTACAACCCTACTTCACAAACATTCTGGGCATCTCCTTTGCCGGATCTCCTGGTTCCCAAATTCCCCATCTGTTTTCCCCATTTTGGGGACGCATATCTTCTAGTAGCTTCCTAGGAAATAATCTTCAATGATCTTGATATTTAAAAATGACTACTGTAAGTTTGACTGGGTAAAAAATTCTAGATCAGTTGTAATTTTCACTCAGAATTCATGCTTGACGTTTGGCTTCCAGTGTTGCTATTAGTCTGATGTTCAAATTTCAGGTTCTTTCAATGTTTTTTCTCCCTGTAATTCCTCCCTCCGTGTCTAGGAATTTCACAATGGTAGTGCCTTGCATTTCGATCAACCGTGCTGGAAATTCAATGGGTCCTTTCAAACTGTAAATGTATGTCCATGAGTCCTGAGAAAATGTTTAAATGATTTTGTTGCTGCTTCCTCTCCTCTATTTTCTCTGTTCTCTCTCTCGTTTTCTGATTATTTGGACAATGGACCTCCTGCGCAGGTTCTCCAATTTTCTTATCTCCTGGTTTTGCTCTATTTTCTAAGAAATTTCAGTTCTGCTTTCTGATTCTACTATAGAAGTTTTCATTCCTGCTATCATGTTTTCGGTTTCCAAAAGCTTTTTAGAATATTCCTTTTCTTCACAGCATCCAGTTCCTGTTTCATGGTTGCAATCTCTTCCCTTACCTCTCTGAAGATATGATCATTTTTTGAACTTTTCCTAAGTATTTATTTCTTATATCTTGCCTTCTTCTATTTGTTTTGGGTTCTTATGTATTATATGCCTTCTTCAAATGTCCGTAACTGTTCATACCTAAGAATGGGAACCACCACCATAAAAACACCACCACCACCACAACAAAAATCCAGAGTGGAGGCTCCGAGCACACAGAAGGCACTTATTTATCTGTCCTGCCTTCACCATAGAAGTACCAGCTGGGCCATTTCATTAAGAAGTCCCTGGGGTTCCTCAGATTCTCCAGAAAGACCCTTCCAGCCCCCAGTCTAGAGAGTAGAGGCCTTTCTGCCAGTGTCCTGGAGGCCAAGTCGGGGAGGACCAAACACAAGACATGAGGATATTATTTAATTATCCTATTTTTCAGAGAGGTATCCTGATACTCAATTGCACCTAGGTCCCCTAATAGGCAGATTCTCTCTTCATCAGCTTTTAACTACACAGGATTCCAGCCTCCTCTCACTCCAACTTCTAGAGATTATCTGTTGCCACCAATTCCTGAGATTTTGAGAGATTATCACGTAAACAGGCTTGTTCCTCACATCTGCTAAGTCTGTCATGTCACAACCATCTGCTTCCAGCTTCCAAAGTATTTTTGCTGCTGTCTCTTTTGTTTTCTCTATCCTTGGAGGTTTGTGCACTTAAAAAAAAAAAACACACACACACAAAAAAACCTTTCCTGTTATTTTAATGCAATTTGTGGTGGAAAACAAAATTAATTGCCTACAATCAATGGATTACCATTATGTGATACAAAAGTTCTTTTTTATACATTTGTGTATTTTCTCAAGTTTCTACCATAACTATATTACTTGATAATCAGAATATATATTTATTCAGAAAAGCCATCTAAAGAAATGATACTTTCAACATACAAAGGCAATCAGACTGACTTGCTCCCTGCTCCCCTTTGGGACTTCCTTCAAATACCCATTTATGTATATATAAAAAATAAGAAAGCTTAACTCTAAAAAAGAATGTTCTGTTATACGATGATCACTGTTCATAACGAGACCCTGAAGTATGGCCATATCCTAAGAAGTCCTCTAAATCATCTGGTATTTCAGTATAATTGTAACAGATGCTATCTTTCACATGTGAGTATTTCTGAACCTTAAATTACCTTCCATGAAGAGACCCTAGGGAATGAGTGCAAATCAAATCACTACTGGGAGAATTTCCTGAAAAGCTATCAAAAATAAACTAGCACGTAAAATTAAAAAAAAAAAAACATAATAAAATAATAAAAAGGCACGCATGCCCACGTGCCCTACTTCAGAGGTCACTGCAGGTCTCAGGACTGACCTAAGTGTTAGTCTGGCTCAGCTCACTGATAACACATTAAAGCTTCCCTCCTTAAGTAAGATAATTCAGGGTAAAATCTCCAAAATAAGAATCTTTTAAGAAATAGGGAGAGGGGTGCCTGGGTGGTTCAGTCAGTTAAGCATCTGCCTTCAGCTCAGGTCATGATCCCAGGGTCCTGGGATTGAGCCCTGCGTCAGGCTCCCTGCTCAGCAGGAAGCCTGCTTCTCCCTCTGCCCCTCCCTTTGCCTCTCCCCCTGCTCGTGCTCTCTCTCTGGCTCTCTCAAATAAATAAAATCTTAAAAAAAAAAAAAAAAAGAAATAGGAATATGTTATACATGAGGATTCTCTCTCTCAGAATGGTCTCTTTGTCCTGTACACTAAAAGAACACTTTCCTGGGGGAGTTTTTATATGCTGTTTTAATTTGGAATTAGCCATGTACCTGATTTACTACCAACATTAGGCTGTAAGCCCCTTTAGGGAGAGTCTATATATGTCTGATTATGTTCTTATTTTCACACAGCCCCTAGAATGCCACCATACACAAAACAGAAGGCTAAAAATAAATGTCCTTCCATGACAAACAAAGATGCATGGCCACCTTTCCCCCCCCCAACATACCCACTAATAACATCAGGTCATGAGGAAGGAAAGAAAGAGAGAAAGGAGGAAGAGAAAGGAAGAGGTCAGGAGTGTCCAATGCATTTGAAGATTCAAAGAAAAGAGTGAGGAAAATGCCATTGTATTTGGAAAGAGAAATCAAAGCATATCAGAAATAAGAAAGGGGTGCCAGATTATTTAACATTATTCTGAAAGTACTATATGGTGTGGTAAGTACTGAAATTAGAAAGGAGAAGACTGTCATTATTTACATATGTGATCATGGTCTGTTTAAAAAATTCAAAATAATCAGCTAAAATGTTACTGGAAACTATGTGAAAGGTCAGTTAAGAAAGCCAAGGACAAACCTAAGCAATTATTTGTTCAATGAAGAAATATTAACCCATAGAAAAATATAATGGAAAATGACACTAATCAAAATCAATAATGACAGCAGTAACAATAACAGTAAAGAAAGAAAAAGAAAATAATAATAGTAATAGCTCACATTTGTTGAACGCTAACCTCAGCTAGGCACCACGCTGTGCATTTTACCTTATTTCATTTAATCCTCACAACCTCTCTAGGAGGTTATTACTCTTAGTATCTTTACATCATAGATGAGGACACTGAGGCTCACAGAGTATATCATTAATTTGCCCAAGTTGTGGAGTAAGTGGTGATGCCAAGTTCCCCATCAAGCCACACCCAAAGCTGACTCTAGAGCCCAAGTGCACACACAACTGTAATAAGTCTAGTCGTGACGAGAGAACCATCCAATGAATGAAGAACATAAAAACTTTTAATAAGCACCGACCTATGCATTGTTCCTTGATAGAAAGATTCGATACCAATTCTCCTTAAAATTATATATTCAGTGCAATCCAAATGAAATATTCTAACAAGATTCTTTTTTTCTTTTCTCAAACTCTTTTCACACACCCCCTTTCTTTTACTCTTTATTTCAACCCATCTGATAAAATGACCCTATAGATTATCTGGAAGAATTAAGCATGTGAATACAGTGGGGGGGGGGATGCCACAGGGGAAGAAAATAGCCAGGAAAATTCTGCAGGAGGGGCTAGGTAAGGGATCTTGTCCTACCAAACACTGAAACATACACAAATGCCATAAACATTGTGAGCGATGCTCATCAATAGGCAGGTGGATGGAACAGGAGAGGGACTTCAGGAATAGAACCATGTAGTCACAAGATTCAATGTCGTAACATATTTTTATCCTTTTTAGTCAGATGAGCATGGATGAAAAATCTGAAAATAGTTAATGGTGGTGAAGGTGAGGAAAACTGTGGTTAGTGGAAGCATAAATGGATACAACTCCTGGGAAGAGCAATCTGCATATATACGTACTATAATTGAAACTCTCTGACCTGGTAACTCATTACTAAGAAATTTTTAAGGAAATAGTTGCATAAATCAACCACAGTATGACTGATAGCAAAATACTGTAAATAACCTAAATGAATAATAATAGAGGAACAGCTCAGTAAAATTTTGGTACATAATTAAAGGTAACTTATTTAAAGGGCAATCATTTAAAAGTATGGCATATATCTACTCGACGGTATAAAAAGATACATTATCAAACAGACAGAAAAACAGCCTGGGGCACCTGCCTGCCTCAATTGGTAGAGCATGCAACTTCTGATCTCGGAGTTATGAGTTCAAGCCCCACACTGGATAGAGAGCCTACCTAAAAAAAAAAAAAAAAAAAAATTCCTCTGGATAGCCTGGCTGGCTCAGTCAATAGAACATGTGACTCTTGATCTCAGAGTTGTAAATTCAAGCCCCATGTTGGGTGTAGAGATTACTTTAAAATAAAAAAATAAAATAAAAATTTTAGGAAAGAAAAAGAAAAATAGCCTGAATATAATCCACTAAGGAACATTCTATGTCTACATATCCCATAGAAGATAAATGCATAAAAAGAGATCAAATGGACAAAAATAACAATAAAGTTTAAGTATTCACTGAATACCTACACCGTGGACCAAAAACATGTTAAGCCCTTTACATTATCTCATTGTATCTTCCCAATCACACTATGAGGTACTTATGGACTTAACTGAGGAAAAAAGTAACTTAGAGAAATTAGTAACTTTTTCAAGATCACACAACTAATTACTAATTAGTGGTGGAGTCAAAATGGAACCTGAGACATCCCCACTATGTTGTGGGGCCTTCATGTTCACATCCTGGTGACGGCCGTCACTCACAGAGGGTTTGAGAAATCATTGCTTCTTCTTTAGTTTGTTCTGTATTATTTGAATTTTGTCATGAACATGTATCATATTTAGACACATGGGAACAAAGAACAAAAAAAGAAAGAAATCAAAGGCGACTCTTGCCACAGCAATTTCAAGAGGTAGATGGAAGATGAACACATCTCAAGAAATCGAGGAGGAAAGAGGAGATGAGAAAGAGGTGGAAAGTATACTGAATGATAAAAAAAAAATTGGCAGAAACAACTTCTATAAAATATCTGATCAATGGTACAAGCGTACATACATAAAGGGACCCCATGAAAAGCTGGGGTTTTTTTGTTTTGTTTTGTTTTGCTCCTTCTGCTTTTATTCTTGCTAGGACCCATACCCCTGCCTTCCACATGCCTCACGTAACAGATAATGTCTGTCCTCGTTGCAGAGGTCAAGGAGTTAGTGATTTCTTTGGAGTCTTCAGCAAAATAGGTAACATCTTAGGAGTGACCAAGCAGGGTCATGTTTTCCAAGACCATTGACTCACCAAGAACCCCAGCTCTAGGGCACACGTGACTTACGGAGGACATCTAAACACTCATCTTTGTTCCTGGATGTCTAAGAAGACATGTGCACCAGACCACAATCCCCAGTAAAAACCCCAGACCCCAAGTAACGACGAGATTCACTCTCCTCTCCTTTCCGAGTCTCCGAGACACTGTATCTGCACTCGCTCTATGTCCTCAGTGAACTCTGCTCTCACTTCGTCTTGGCTCGAGTTTGCTTTGTATCCTGCACTAAGCCAAGGACTATGTTGGCTGGTCCTGCAGGACCCACTCTGGGTCCTCGGGGACCCAGCCAGCCTGCATCATTAGCATAACCCTTATTATCATAACCCTGTATTTTAGCAATATGTTACCAAAAACGAAAACATGCGTGTTTTTTCCCAGAAATCTCATTTCCAGGAAATTATCTAAAAGAGATAAGGAGGCAAAGATATACAAGGACTTCATAACTTTCTGCCCTTTGTTATTTGAAATGTGGTGCAGTAACAAGAGCTCCGGGTTTGCAGTTAAACTTACCTGGGTCTGAATCCTTGCTTTGTACTTTACTGGCTGTGACCTTGACCAAGTTACTCAACTTCTTTCAGCCTCGGTTTATCTCTAAAATCTAAGTCAAAACACAGGCCTCACAGGATTGTTGTGGGGATTAAATGAGATAAAATATAGTACCATGTCTGAACTATAACAAAGCACCCAATTCTTTTTCTTCCCACCACTCGCTAATATGTTTAACTTAGAATGAATACATAAACTTTAATCAGAACTCTAAAATAAATCATACAGCTTGGTAATTTCTACATTATTCTGCATCCAAGTATCATAAAACATTAAACTTAGCTTTTAAGTTTGTTCAGTAGTAAACCTATGTTATGATACTTTGACACTTCCTCAATCTCAATTAGCTGTAAACCAATTAACAAAACTTTTATACACTACAGTGAGTCACGTTTTTCTTCTTT